TTTCATTAACTCTCTTGTATGCAGCTCTTTCTCGAGCATTGAACATTTAGTAGAGCTCGCTTTAACTTAACGAACCAATGCTCAAATCTGAACATCATGATACGACTATACAGCTATACAGCTATTACAGCTATTATCACTAGCAGTTATTAGGAGAATTTATTCAGAGAGGGTATTCCCGTGATTACAACAAACAAGAAATGTTCAATTATTTTTGCTTATGGTTCAAGTTTACCTCAGCATCTGCTCAAGGTAGTACCTAGCCTTAAGGTTCGTTGATGGTTTGGTCACTAATTTAAGATGCAACAGTTTTGCTGCAGATGCTTTGAAGTTCAATCTTAACTCTAACGAGAGATATACATTACCTATAGCGATGAGTAAGAAACGTGCTTGAGTGAAAGTACTTACATCATGATCTGCTAGAGTCTCTACTCGGATAATTCTTTTATAGTAACAAAGAAGTCTATTGCCGCACTAAATCATAATTTATATGAGAGATTCTCGATGGTCTAACTGATCCAGATTGATACAGTTACTGTAAGGATGTTTCGTACTCAAAAACATGGTTTAGATGAAGTTGATCTGAGATTCAAAAAGACATGGTAGCAAGCTGCTGAGCACGCACTCCACCCTGAAAATTCAGAAGTTACAGCACTAAACACACTGGCAATGTCGGAGAAAAGCACAAAAGCTTGTGAAATGCTAGGGTGCGAGTAGAACTGCAGCACATACATTTTTAGGATTAGAAGAAGTATGTGCTTTTGTTGTTGTGTTATGGCTGATTACACTATGAAAATCCCTCTCATCTGTGAAAATTTTCGTGATCAACAAAACATACTGGCAAGCCAAAAATTTATTTAGTTGATTGCACCAGGCATCACTGCTTTTCGTAGAGACGATGTAGTGGTGAGTAGAGTTCATTCCGTAATGGAACTGAATGCAAAAATCTGGGGGATCACCACTGTGAAACCCTGGAAAAGAAGAGGAACACAAAAAACCTCAGTAATATAATTAGCTTTTCAATCAACTTTTTTTAGTCACTTCTTCACCTTTATGTGCTATGGATTATAGGATTTGAAGCCTACAAATCAAATTAGCGAATCCGTTGAAGCTATGTGCTTTTCAAAAACCTTTGTAAGTCTTCTGCTCTAGGCAAGCAATATCAACAGAGAAAAAGGGAGAAATCCGAACTCAAAGAAATCACTTGCAAAAAATTTCAATCCTATGCCTGACTCAATGTGCAGAATCTCATACATGGCTGTTGCTACACAGTACATCTAACTGATGCGTTTGCTGAATTTTTGTGTTGTATTCGTAAGTTTTTTTTGAATTACAAGACTTTAAAGTTAGAAAACTTTGGAGATAAAGCAGAAGTGGAACATCAAGCGAATTTTACATATGTCGAAAACTGAAATCGTACTTATTTCAAAGATGTACTGCTTATTGATCTTTGTAACTGCTGGATTCAATTTGACAGTTCTCACTTCTAATCAAAAATAAAATGTCTTAAGGAGGAAAAGGAAAAGCTGAATTTTGTTGTTTGTCTTTCATTTCTTTCAGAAGCAATGTCTCATTCACTCATAGATTATAGCCGTAGAGCATGCAGTCCACTTAGTTTTGGCGGGATTCCAATTTTTATATGTCATCGCATAATTTGAACATACTTAATATAGAGAAATCTAACAATTTACAAACTTACACATTCTGCATAGACCCTACAAGTGTTGGAATGGACAGTCAGACAATTGCCAAATTGCGTGGAGACTGAAATGCTTAGAAAATTGGGGCCTTA